CCCAACCCCCACCCCCACCCAAGTCCAAATCCAAATCCAAATCCAAATCCAACAAAAATATAACAAATTAATGGAAAGTGGTTTTCATTTTAGTGTATAGCCCACCAACAATTATTATCATTTGGCAAGCCCAGCATAATTCTTAAAACTAATTATTTGTTTTAATTTTTTGCCCAAATCTTAAAACTAACTTTGTTTAATTTTAGTCCAAATCCATCACAAGCTCATTTGATTTCGGGAAGCAACTGATGAAATATACACATGAAGAAATTTTGGGAAGGAACTACATATATGAATGTTTCTGCTTTCATGAAAAAAGTCCTTTGGTGAAATTTTTCTAGGGCCCATTTGATTCTCATTATTGTAGAATGAGAATGAAAAATATAGTCATTATTGGGCCCACACAAGAGAAGCAAATTCAAAATTGATGGCTTGATGTGATGGATAACGGTCATATTTTTCATTTTTATGGATGAAAAATGAGAAACAAATGGGGGGCCTATTTTTACATTGTCACAGAACTCATTGTTGTCTAATATAGTTGAAATAATTCTAGGTTGCCACTTCTTTTTGGAAATAAAAAAATTGTAGGCAAGAAATTCTGAAACTTATTTCATTTACAATCTATGCATGATGAGTAAGCTACTGATATCAAGTCTAGTTTCTTACAATATGAATGAATTTAAGTTGGGAAGGAAAATAGAGGGGTAAGAATTTATGATTTGGGATATGAATTTATAATTTCTTACAATAGAGGGGTATGAATTTATGATTTAGGAAGGAAGATTTTAAGTTTTGAGCTCTTACAGTATGAATGAATTTATGATTATGATTTTATCAATTTATGTTTATGGGATATTGTCATATTGTGTTTTGATTTTTATGCTTTTAGTTTTAGATTCTAACATGAAAGAAGATTGACTTTCTGCCAAGAAAGAAGAACCTCGTTATCTTTCTTTTCAAAAAGTAACAAATCTAAAGATACAACTGTAATAGCTAATGTTATATCACAACTTTTTTATATATATATGAATTTTATTCGTACATTAAATTTTAAAAAAAAAAGTTTGCCCTTGATTTCTAGCTCCTCCCCTTGAAGGTTACAACTTAAAATATTAATTGATAGTCTGGAATTTGGGATGCATATGTTGGGAAAGACTAAAAATGACTACAATTGGCTCATCTAGTAACAAGGCAGGTTGATCTACTTTATACTCATCTGATAGTGTAATGACTTGACTAAAGATCCACATGCTCATGCATCGGGGAAGGGTTTGGATATAAACCCAATAATTACCTAGGGAAAGAGTAAAGTTGTTTAAATCTTAATAGTCATTAAGTACATTCTCTTCTTCTCAAGCAGCATGATTATGAAGTAATATGAGCATCAAGTTAAAAGCTTCACATACTATACTAGAAGAATATAGCATAAACTTCAATCAAAACAAGAAACTCAACTGAAATCAATTACCAAAAACTAAAATTAATAAAATTGAAATCAAAATACCATGAGCAAGGACAGAGTGGAAACAAATACATTAAGCTTCAAGGTGAAAAATGCAAAAAGCAACAGAACGCACGAAATTACTATCACAAATCAAAATAAAAAACAGACGGTAGAATGTCAATGAAACTAATCAAAAATATAAATGAAAACCTAGAAATACTTTAGCAAAATGAGTACCTGATAGGACCAACCAACGATGCCGGAGCGACCTTGAATCCCAAATAGGATCGTGAGAAGGGCACTCGCAATTACTATCGTCCTTGTCACCAGCGCGTTATCTGTAAAACAAAATCAACATTATCACATTTTTTATACAGATTGCATAATAAAAAACTTTTTCCGAAAAAGATATGAGTAAAAGATCATGTAAAAACAGGTAATTAGTTGAAATTTTTAAAGGATATTATGGAGAAAAACGTACTGAAACCAGATGGGCCGCCGTTCATTTTCCAGATAAACCAACGACCTCTCTTGCTCGCGGTGTCTCTCTTAACTGTATGTATATTGATCTTGATCGTCTTTCTCTTGGCTGTTTTCTCCTGCATAATTCTCTCTCGACTTTTCCGTCTCTTATGAGCCAGCCCATTTTGCTTTTGGATCCTCCGTGGCTGCAAATTTGTTTTCTTTATTAAGCTCGTGTTTGTTTCTGATTCTCAAATCAATTCTCAAATCAATTCTCATTTTCAACCACACATTCTTCAATAAAATAATATTTTCCATCACATCAATACTTTTTTCTTCTTTTTCAACCACACATTTCCCATCATATCACTATTCAAAATCAATTCTTCCCCCAAAAATCCATCTGTAAGTTTAGTTTTTCCCTTTTGCTTTTGGATCCTCCATGGCTGCAAATTTGTTTTCTTTATTAAAAATGTACTTTTGTTTTTCTTTTCTGATAAAGATTCACTTTTTTGCTTTTCTACCAAAGATAATAAATCTGATAATCTGATTTTCAAGTGTTTAAATGCATAATCTTTACTTTATTTGAGAAAAAGTTGAGAAATGTTTGGTCATCATACTTAAAAGTAAGTTCATTTATTTTTAAATTATTCATATAGACTCAAATATAATTTTTCAAAATTACCTATTTTATTAAATTTTAAACACAAGTAAATACATGTGATAGACCAATTATAAACTTATTTAATTATGAAAATGACTTGAAGATAAATTATTACTTAAGAATAAAAAATTTATTTTTGAACATGTATTATTTTTCTAGATATGTGAGAAAAAATTATCTTGTTTCCTTATCTTTAGCTAAAAATATTATTTTTATCTAAAATGTTCACAATATTTATATGTATCTTAGTTGCTACTTATTTAGTCAACCTTCTTTAGCTACGATGCGAAAAATAACAATTTGTTGTTCTTTTTGGTTACTTTGAATGAGGCGTTAAAAATGTCACAAACTGGTTCTTCGAGTTGCATAACGGAACTATTTTTCGTGGCCATGAGTCATTAGTCTCACTTTGTCTAACTACCTTCCGCATTCTCCATCACGAGTTTAGATATGATATGTAGTTTATTTTACCCGCAAAGTTTACTAATGCGTAAATACCCGAGTGCATCCCTGCTCTACAATTGGTGCCAAGACGTTCGCCTATTATCAATGCACATCTCCTTCTCCCACCTTTCATAATCTATTTGAAAATATGGAAACCGGAAATGAAACTGTATTATTAGATTAAAATTATGTTTTCCACTCTATCAATTTTGCAGTCCGATCTATGATTTACTGTTCATGGCTATGGACAAGATCCATCGAACCTCTCTTCGAGACAATACCTAGGATCGTTATATTAAATTTGCTACCTTAGGCCAATGAATCTACAACAATAGAGTGGTTTCCCTGTACATCTATAAATGAATAACAAGATGCACAGAAGGCAAATCTTGATTATCTACTCATTTCTATTTACAGATTATTGAGCTATTTGTGTACTATTCCAAGATGGAATTTGTCCAGAAATTCTTCCAGGCTTCAATTTCTTCTTTATTGTAAAGCTTTCGGATTCCTCCATAAAAACCATCTCCTTCGTTGCCTACTTCTCGATGATCCTTCCTCTTAATAGCCGTTCTTCTCCATTGCGATCCGGGGATATATTGCTTGAACTCTAAGATCACCATGTCTGAAAAAATGATTAAATGGACATTATGTACATACTTTCTATGCACTGCTAGACACAACTGAACATTATACTGATCAAGACTTTAATTTCATTTTGTTCTTTTATATGTCTAAGAATCATAATTATAATCTAGGAAGCATGTTGGCCACAGCAACAACATAATATGATCCAAGACTCGAAAGGATTATGCATTATAAAAAATTAACTTCTAAGAGGAAGTTGACTTTCTTACCACTCATATGACACATACAATTAACTTCATGGCAATTGCATAATTCCTGATGTCCAACAACTCCATACCACCAACCTGTGATATTTTCAGAAGAAATCAATGTTTCATTAATGGTTACAGTTGGGATATCTCATTGTCAAATACTATAAAGAGGTTTCTCATGGAACTAAAGAGGATTTTTAGGTTGACAATTGACTTAAATTTGTGGTTGAAATTAAGTGATATATTGTGGGAAGTAAGTGTTATGATGTAAAAATATACCATATGGGAACTCCTTCTTTTTTCTCCACTGAATCTCAATGTGATCATCTGGCTTAAGATCATCCAAACAATCAGAAACATGAAGGACATTTCCAGGAGTATCAACTGCTGGTGGCCTTAACCTATTCCATTCTATATTTTCCTCTATCGTCCGCCTCCCTTGCGCCGAATAACTATAAAATATATTGGAAGTTAATAAGATTGAGGCATTTCTTAATCATATTATCATCAAGAATTGAGGTGCAAATCTCAGTTTAGAACACAAAGAAAACAGCAAAAGCAGACCTTGCCACAAAGTTGTCTGCTTTGGAATCATAGCAAACATCAGCATCATAACATGAAAGCATAAATCCAATATGCCCATTCTGCACCTTAAAAAAGATTAAAATATATCAGGCGCATGTTTGGCACACAGTACACGCTAAGTGTTAAAAATATCGAGCAAATTACCTCGCGATTATACACCTGAGCCGGGAACCAAAATTTTCCGGTTTCAAGAGCCAGATAGCAAGACATGATCGAATTTTCTTGTTTGGGACTTCTCGATTTGCTATCTCCCTCCTCGATCTTTGATCTATTCGGAAAAAGATTATCCAAGAAACACGAAAACCACTGAAATGTGCTTTTGTGCATTGCAGGATCACCAGTTATTCTTGAATCAATCTGGCATTGCCATTCTGTATAGGCATCATCCCCAATTATTCTGCCCCATTTTTGGTTCATATGCTTCTTCCATAAATGATCACTTTTACATTTTTCTCTCAAAGTCTTACACACTCCTGCCATACTACACAGTCCGGCAGGCGAAAGCTTTTCCAGAATACATTCCAAGTCCAAATCAGGCAAATCCAGTAGAGTGATTTCCTGTTTTTCATCCAAATTCTCCACTCTTGAACTCGTAATTCTTTTTATTGCTGTCAAGATTCTTGATTCTTGTAAAAAACCAACAAAAACCCTTCTTTGTTTATACCATGGCGGAAAAAAATTGTATACTTTCCCACTCTTATTCTTCATTGGCATGAAGAAAGACTTGGAAAGTAGAAGAAAAGAGAGACAGTATATCAAGAAACACAACATTTTTTCCTCTCAAAATGGGGTAAAGAAGATCAAAAGAAAAATCCCAATTGTAGAGACATTGAAATCTTGATTTTATATGGGAATTGAGAATTCGAAATCTATTAGAACAGCAGAACCGACCAAGTTTTTATTGTTGGTTGCAACGCCCAGAACAAGAAACTAATGTCAACAATAAAAGAAAGAGCTCCTTAAATGATGTGGGATCAAGATACAGTGAATTCCACCACTATAGATTGGGGGCAATTAATTTTTTGAAACGATGACATGTGCCAGTTAATAAATGGTCGATTTGAAAATTTAAAACTTGTTTATTGTAGACTTTTTTTAGAGTTGATTTTGTGAAAAACGTGAACTAGGATTTTTTTGTTCAGTAGAAAAAGTTATGAATTTACAATTAAAATTATTTTATTGAGAAAATATATATGATTAAATGAATTTAAAAAAATGATTTTGAAAAAAAATTCTACATGAGAAAGAAAGGTGACAAGGAGCTTGATTTGAATTTTGGGTAATTTTCGAATTCCGAGTTGGATCACTATCAATATCCCTTTTCCTAAATATAGCTGTCAAATGGGGTTTACATCCCTATTTATTTTTATTTTTTTGACATTTTTCATCAAAAATGTGCTATGACTAGGGCTGGGCCAAAAAAACCGCAGCCCGCTAAACCGAACCGACCCGACTCGTATTAGGTCGGGTCAGTTCGATTTTAAAATTATTTTGGGTCGGGTCGGGTGAAACAATTTTAACATTATTACGGGTCGGGTTGGTTCACTTCAAACCCATTCAAACCGACCAACCCTATTTTCTTCGAAGCTTTGAAGCAGCGCACTACAGTAGATCATTCTTCTCGCCCAGATCTAACCTCCAAGAACACTGATAAGTCCTCTCGCTCTCTCTATTATTCTAATTAAACCCCTTTTTCTTGAAATTAAACTATAGATTTGAAACTTTCTTGTACAGATCTATATATTCTTGGTGATTTTCTGAATCTTCTGTACATTGTTTGCTGGTTCTCATGGCATCGTTTTGCTAAGGCTTTTGGTGGTCAAATCTCCGGACGACTACGGTGGTTTGCATTCTTCTGATGGCAGTGTTTGCAATAGTCCAACTCTTGCAGCTCCACTAGGATTATCAGAACCTGTTGCATTCCCATGGCTAGATTAGGCTTATGAGTTTCTTTGAAGTTGATTCCTGAATTTGGTTATTTTTGGATATTGCAATTTTCTTTTTATGATGTGTTTCTTGTTTTACTTTGTATGAGCATTTTCAATAGGAACTTCTGCAATTTGATATTGCATCACCATCCTCCTCTCTTTTTCTTTCTCAATATCCACCAATGTGTTGCCTTTTCTTGTTCATTATTTAATAATAGTACTATTAATTTCAATTTGAATAAGGGATTTGGGCAATTCTAACATTTCTGGAAGTTTGGGTTCAGAGCTTGGTGAACTCAAGCAGCTGCAGTATCTGTATTCTTCTTCTCTCAGTTTTATATTCTTGAATTTGGTATTCATTAGCTGCTTGCGTGCAGACGATTAAACAAAAACCGACCCGACCCAGTTCTGTTTGGTTCGGGTCGGTTTAGGGTAAGAGGTGGGTCGGGTTTGTGAAAAGAGTCCAAACCGGGTATATCGGGTCGGGTCGGGTCGATTTTGGGCCAAATCCGACCCGACCCGACCCATCGCCCACCCCTAGCTATGAATTATGTTGTATTGATAATTTTTTAGACAAAATGATTATTATAAAATAAAAAAAATTGTTATAAAAGAGTTGTAAAAATCAAGGAGTCTTTTGGAGGGTTGTATAGATGAATTATGGGTCTTTGAGTTCGAATGGA